ATCAGTAATTTATCGTATCGTTCGACTTTGTCTTTATTTAGCCGCTTGGAGAAGTCACACGAATCCAACGAATTTCGCGAGCTGACGTGGGGTATATAACCACGAACTCGACGACGTCCTCTGTCGCGTATGCACCGGCCACCCTCATACGTGCACGTAATAACCTTTAACGAGCGTGGAATAATAATCGTGCGCCTGTAGCGCGCGAAATCGACGGGGTTATTTACGATTCGAGCGAGCAGGGGCCGTAAGTCGACTGTACGGGCGCTGCTATTTTCGTTTCATATCGTTCAGATCCCAGATAAAGTACTCCTCGGATCGTTTCCGCTTGAAAATCATCGCCTAGGATGACGATCGCCGGCGACAATTGCGCCGCCTCGACTCGAGCAACGGGGCAACCTTCGGTTATCGATACCGAATCCGAGCTGAATTATCAATCCGATCTCTTCCGGGTGGTCCTGGGAACGAACGAGGGGAGAACGTTGATACACCGCGCCGGTAAACCCGCTCGTACTCGCTCGTACCCGCTCAATGTTCGGCCAACAGCAATAGCAACAATACCAACAAACAACGCCGGGTACAACCGCGCGTGGATCGGTGGCTACCGCGGCGCAGCGAACGACGGGGGAAGAAAGTTCGCTGGGACAAGTGGTGGGAGAAGAAAGGGAGAAAGGGAGGAAAGAGCCGCAGACAGAGATCGCGAAAGAGTGGCCCGACCGGGATCTGGTTTTGCATATCAGGCTTTTTGCCGGCTGAAATAATGCATTGAAATGCCACATGGTGTCCCGCTGAAATGACACACGGCTGTCGCGCGGCAAAAGTACGCTCCTGCGTGCCTCCTCCCAACCACCGACACCCTTCTTCATCCTATAGATCTCCCTATTTCTCGGCTCGCTGCTCGTTTGCCTTTCTTTTTTTCTTACCTTCATCCTTCTTTTATTTTTCTTCATCTTCTCTCTCTCTCTCCTTTTATCCGTCCGCGTCTCTATCGGAAACGAAATCGGCACGGCAGATACCGTTCGAATGCGTGAACTCTCGTTTTACCGGGGCGAGTTATGCGGAAAGAGTGGAACGACATCGGGGTCGAAGTTCGTGGGATCCTCGGCGAGGTTGCGTCTATTAATTACCGGAGTTCGGCCTTGATAGGACGGAAGCCGCGGCAACGAGGCAGGGATTTAACGACGTCTCGCTCGATACGGGTTCACTGCGCGCATAATCGCGAAGGACACGACAATCAAAGAAGGACGACGTTAAGGCGAAACGAAGGAAGAAAGGAGGCAGTAGAATGGAAAACACAGTTGATCCGTGCCGACGGTTATGCATATGGAATCGAGTAATTGACCACGGGCGCGTCGTTCGCGACGGCTGACTTTATAATCTTACAACGTTCCTAGATCACCTTCCGCCACCCTCCTTGCACGCGATGGTTCTTTTCTCCACCGTTTCTTTATCGCGACCGCTCCTCCTCCCATGCGTCTTCTCGTTTTATGGGTGCTATAGCACCGGCGTAATACCCCACCGGCGATTCTAATCAGACGCGCAATAAAGGTCGTGCAGTAATTAACGCAAGAATGAAATTAGTTTGCCCGCGAAAGAAAGAATTCACTGTGGGGGAAGGAAGCGGTGGTACGCGGATAAAGCCAGTGAGAGAGTTGTGCTCGTGCGAGTACCATGTTCAACTGTGTGTGATGGTTAACTCTTTACAACAGCGCGTGACTCGAACGTTGCATATGCATGTATTGGCTTTTTGAAAATTTTATGTCGCATACACGTACTTCGTTGCTTCGTTACTGTACCGCATCGATACAACAATGCAAAAAAACCGCTTGTTTATGGCCACTCGTAAAATTTTATTACACACTCGATGAAAAATTCTCGGTACTTTAATCTGTTGTGATTTTGCGTGAAAAAGTCGTACAACGAAGTGTGAACCTTTATTTTGTTAATCCTAAGTATTTTCAAAGGTATTTTCAAATCTTGTTGGAAAAACATCTTTAATATCACTGAAATTATTTTTTATCATAACTAAATCTACCATAGTTTCGAAGACTAAAATTTTTATCCTACAATCATAAAAATTTGCTGTACGAATTTTAATGAATTTTCAATATTAGAGTTATTTCAATTTTTGTCGTTTAACCGATTCTTTTTCTCGAAATTCCAACAGTTAAAACTATCGAGTATTTTTTATGTATGGACAATTTTGTGAATGACAATTGTACCGTTCAGAGATCAAAGCGATAACTTCACTTTTCGAACTTTTTTGAATTTCGATGTCAAAACACGATTGACACTCAATTTTTCAAAGATATATTTCAAAGAAATTTTTTCAATAATTAGACCTCATACACTTACATGGATAACTTTTCGTGGAAATTAATTTCAGATGCAATTATTCCAAAGACACAATATTTTACACATTCATTAGATTAATATATCCTACAATATTTATTTAAATTTATTTGAGAGAGAATATACAGTTTAATGTATATTTAATATTTACATAATTATTCAATGTTTATTTTAAAAATGCACGGTATTCATCTCTCTATTTTTCGTTTTGTAAAGTTAATCGATTCGGCGAATGGCTCGTTATCGTCAATTCCCCGACTGTTAATCTTATTTAATTAAATAAATACAAGTGCAAATAATCTTGATGATCTTTACCTATCTTTGTAAGGTAAACAAAGTTCTGAATATAGAGCGAGTTAAAAAAAATTGAGTACTCACCCGGCCGTTGTAATAACGCCTGTCAGGTTGTCAACTCTGAACAGCCAGCTCGTTTCTTCGCCGATGGCATACGTGATTTTTCCATTCACTCCTTGGTCTGGATCCGTCGCTCTCACAGACATTACGCTAGAATCTGGTGCCACGTCCTCGGAAATGGTCGCCACGTATTTGCTAGGGTGATAGTTTGTCGGATAATTGGAGGAGCTGTACGAGAAGCCGTTGGACAAAGCGAATCCAGGATACTCGGCGCCAGCGACGGACCCTCGAGGCCTCGACTCGGTGTACTGGTTTTGTACGAACGACGGAGCGTTGTCGTTCACGTCCAACACGATCACGGTCAAGTTACATCGCGCCTCCAAACTAGGCCGACCTTTGTCCTTGGCTGAAATCATCAGCACGTACTTGGACACCGCTTCTCGGTCCAGATTCGACATCGACAGCATTCCGGTCACAGGATCCAAGGTGAACTTTGCGCCGATGTTACCACCTAGAAAGTGACCGGAACGATAAAGCTTGCGTGCAGTATTGTTGAAATAAGCTTCGAGTCTGCACAGCTTGGAAAACTCGACTCGTGATTCTACTCTTTATGGCTTGAACCTCGGATGTTTAAGCGCTGAAACCTTCAACGCTTAAACTCGAAGAACTGTCTAAATTGTATACAATGATGATTATGAACAGTATGAACATACGATTGTCGAATGTCACCTTAAAAACTTTGAGAGTCTTAAAGATTCAATCTTATTAAAGCTTCAACAGCTTGAGTTTAAGCTTTAAGTTTGACTTAGCTTTTAAGCTAAGTTTTAGTTTTACATTTGGTAATCGATTACAGAAATGATTACAAATTGATCACTGCCAGGCTCTACTTACGTATGCGCAGAAGGAGACGTTAGATAGAACTTGGAGGATTCTTACCTACGACACTGTAATAAATTTCTCCGTTTTTTCCCTCGTCGAGATCAGCCGCGGCGATCGTGTGAATGACGGAACTCCCTTGGTTCTCCGGTACGGCGAGCGTGTAACACGAGCCCGGTCGAAATTCAGGGCTGTTGTCGTTTTCATCCATGACTAGAACCTCGAGCGTGCTGATGTCCAACAGCTTGCTGGACCTCGCCAGAATTGGAACGGAGTAGCGGGAGACCAGTTCGCGGTTCAGAGGACCGCGCAGCGTCACCAGACCGCTCGGCGTGACGGAGAATTTGTCCGCGGCCAGATTGCTCGGAATACTGAAGCTGACGTTACCTGCGCAATCGGAATGATCGGAACCATCGTCAACCATCGTTTCGGTTCGTATTTTCATTCGACGGGTAGGAATAAAATTAAGCTCTTTTTTTCTTTTTCTTCCCCCCCCTCTCTTTTGGTCGACGTTACGACACAGCCGAATTGCTTTCCATGCGTCGCAAGAAATTAGGACCACGCGACCGAGACCCGTTCCGTGGCAAGGCCATTACCCTGTCGCGTCCTCTCCGAAAATCCGAAATTATCGGTCAGTTTGCATACGTAAATAGGTGCGTTTAAGCCGAGAGCGAGCGAGCCCCTTCGGAGATCGACACGTATAGCGCGAGGCGACCAGCTCCGTAAATTCTCGAGAATATACCGATCAGAATTCGATTCGCGAAACAGCTTTGTTCTTACGATTGCCGGACGACGGGAAATAGGGAGGAGAAGAAGGGACGAGAAAAGAAAAAGGAAGAAAGAAAAGAATAAAGGGAAACAAGAAGAACGTTATTTAAAAAACCGATGCAATTAAACAGTTGGTGCAGAGCTGGCATGGGTGGTTACCGGCACCCGGTGCCGAACGTGTTACGATCCCGAAATCACGGAATACGACTCGAAAAAACTCACGCGAGAGAGAATGAGGATTTGGGTGGGCCACCGTTTTGGGTGAATCGCGAGATCACGGAATAAGGAAGGTGATTTCAAGGAATACCTACGCCTTCGATCGCGTGCGCAAGAGCAAAACAACCGAGACCGTTTGCCGAGACGAGAGAATTTTTACGGCGAGCCGACCATAACCACAGAATCTCGCATTATCCGTGGTCGTTCCTGCTCGGAGGAGTGACGTTTTCCGGTGGAAAACGACCCGCTCGGAGTTCAACGCATTCGTTATTACGCTCAAATTCCGCGCGAACGATGCGCGTTCGACTCGACGGCGAGCTCGACGGAACAAAGAGGCGAGCACGCGAGAAGCGTTTCCCTCTCCGTATCGCGAGCGTTTGGCCGAGTCTACAAGCGCAGAGAGGGTAGACGCAGCAGAACGGTAGTTACGGTGGCGACACGCACACGCTCGTGTGCCGCACGTACAAGGACGTCGGTGTTGGTTGGAACCGGTGATTTGCCTATGCGTACCGCGGCAGGCTGGCGGCACGATGATATACGCGGCCATTGTTTCGCGGCCGATTCCCCCCTCGTCCTCAGCCCCTTTTCGCCCGCTCCTCCCCCCCCC